CACCCACCCAATCCTTCTTCTTCTCCTTCTTTCTTTCTCTTTCTTTTTTTCCTGCCCTGGGTCTCCATGGCTGCGACGAACCCAGCCTGCTGGATCTCGACGGAACCCAGCCTGGCTGGGTTCCGATGAGACCCAGCAGGCTGGGTTTCCCCGAACCCAGCAAGGCTGGGTTCCGACGAACCCTACTGGGTCTCGTCTAACCCAGCCTTGCTGGGTTTACTCGAACCCAGCTATTGGGTTCGACGAGACCCCAGCTGGGTTCCGATGAACCCAGCTTTGCTGTTTTGATGCTGAATTCATGTTTTTTCATTTTTCTTTGGATTTTCATTTCTAGTTGTTAATAAATTTGAGAGTTGATTTACAATTTGATTGTATTTTTGTTGGAGTTTGATTGATATTGTTTATTTTGTTTATTGAATGGTTAATTTGATTTGATAAGATTTACTAAGTTTGAGGCTTGAATGAAACCCAGTAACTAGGTTCAATTTCTCAAGTTCTCTTGAAAAAAGAGAAGAAGAAGAAATGGGTTAAGATCGGTTTTGTAGAGGAGTGGAGATGAGAGAGTATTTAGAGAGGAAGAAGAAATGGGTTAAGATTGATTCTGCAAATGGAGTGGAGGTTAATTTTGTAGAGAGGGAAGATGAGAAAGGAAGATGAGGTTAATTTTGCAGAGAGGGAAGATGAAAAGGAAGATGACATGTCGCAAAAAAAAAGTCCAAATCAGCACCTTTTAAGTTATTTTTGCCATGTCATCCAAAAAAAATATAAAAAATGCCATGTGGCCAAGTTAACGGTGAAAATTGACAGAAGAACTAACGGAGTGCATTTCGTATAGTTAAGGGATCAAAAAAGTGCAAAAAATTGTTGAAGGACCAAAAATGTGCAACTCACTAAAGTTGAGGGACCAAATTTAGCATTTAACCAAAAAAAAAAAAGGAACTATACTAATGGAATTATCCGTTTGTAAAGCTAAGGGCCTATACCAACGGAAATGTTTTTTTAGATTTTTCAAGGTCTATACCAACGGATAGGTCTTCCATCGGAATAGACCCCAAGGGTCTATACATATGGATTAGGCGTTGGTATAGACCCTATACTGACGGGATTTCCACCAACTGAAAGTTGGTCCGTTGGAATAGTCCCTGGGGGTCTATATCAACGGAAAATGGATCTATACAGACGAAAAACTTTAGTCGGTATAAATGCATCTATTTGTAGTGCCTCCCTACCCTAAAAAAAAAAAAAAAAAAAAAAAAAAAGAACTGTGTAGGCTGTTTGGTAGAAGGTAACTTGATGGAGACTACTTCAGAGCTTCTATTTAGAAATTTAGCTGAACTGGATGGAAACATTTGATTATTGGCCCTCTGAATTAAGTTTCATGAAAGCTACAAACTGTGCAACAAATATGCGAAGAAATTTCTAAGCTTCCTTTTCCATGGAGGTTGAACGTAGTGTTTCTACCATTCAAGTCCTTTAAAAATCAAAGCCGGCCAAAGCAGAGGGGTACTCTTCAAATTTTCAGCAACTTGAAGGCTTCTTTGTGTAGTTATCCCATCAGTTTGGGCAATATGCATTCTAGGTGTTTGCTTTATTGCCTCTGAGAGCTACCCAGTTTGTTCTGGGTGCTATCTTTCTTTCTTTCTTTATTTCTTTCTTTTTTTTCTTTTTTTTTGGGTGGGGGGCGTAATTGGGTCTTATCTGTTATCATCAGAGTTTTTCCTATATATCCTTAAGAAAAGCTCACGCTCTAATACTCCTGCTTTAGGATGTTAAGAGCCAAGGTTGTAGAACTGTTCGGCTTCATGGCCCTTGTTTTGTCTTTTTTTCCTGATGCTTGTATGGCTCATTGCGTCCCTTCTTCCTGTGGAAACCTTCCTATAAGGCCCCCTTTCCGACTAAAAGGTGATCCTATCAAGTGTGGTGACTCAAAGTATGAACTAGTTTGCGAGAATAACCGCGCCACGTTGCTCACCAGTTCATGTGGAAAGTTCTTTGTGGAGGATATCTCTTATGAGAACGAGACAGTTCGACTGCTAGATGCCAGTCTCCATAGGAATAAATGTTCCTTTCCCTGCTCCCTTCTTCTTACGTTTCCATGTGGGTCTGAGTATCGATTTAGCTATATTACTGAGAATAGCATCATGTATGTTCTAAATTGCAATATGAGGATGAACTCAGCACTCTATGTGGATGCCTCTAATGGCACCAATGGCACTTCCTCTCCACACACCTACTTTTTTCTTTTCAAAGATTCCCAAACACAGGTTTCGGATTTCAATGAATCATGCAGAATTGAAGCCCAGTTTCCGATCATGCTATCCAATATCTCAGGCCTCTCTGCTTCTGATATTTACGATAATCTGCTAAGGGGCTTGGAACTGAGTTGGGATTGGTTCGACTACAATGACTCGCACTGCCGTTGGGGTTGGCGTGAGAGGATGTAAGTTTTCAATATTTTCTTAATTTTTATTTTTTTCTGAAGTACTTTTAACGAAACTCTATTTAGGATATTATAATTAACTTTAATAAGAGCATGCTCACATATGCTTGAAGTCTCAGAAATGATGATTTATGAGTTCCACTTTCTGATGTACTAAGTAATACAGAATCATAATCTAGCAATAGAAGAGTTGAATTTCCTATTCCTATCAAAATCTAATAAAGTTGTCCATTTCGTGGGAGACTTTACTAAATTACCATCACCAACAGTATATGAAATTTGAATAGAATTTCCTATATCTATTAGAAGCTATAATAAGTAGGTGCACTTAGTCTTGTGCAGAACGGAAGAAAATGTAACTGCTTAGTCTATCATTGAAAAACAAAACATGATAATCACCCTAAAAATATGAATTCTCTTTTTTCAAGGAAATCAGGGAATAGTTCAGTTTCTTGTAACTGTGGATGGAGCCAGGAAATTTGGTTAGAGGAGCAAAAATTATTGTTGAAGTTTTGAGTCTTTAAGTATTTTTTAAGATATTAATTCATTTTTAAAAAAATTTTCTTTTTCTCACAGAAAGATTCACTTGTTTTTTTCATTGATATATTTTTAAAAAAAATTAGAAATAAATGTATTTATTAAAATAAAAAATAGATATTGCAGTAATTAATCATGCAATGGTCAATTGAAAAATGATAAAAAAAAAAATGTGTTTGTTAGCCAAAAATATATTTCTTTTAAAAAGTGAAATTTAACTTAGATTGATTTAACACAAAAATTATATATATGCTTATAAATTCAATCATGAAAAGTAAAAAACCTACCTTAATACCAAAATAAAAACCTTTAAATTATTAAATAGAATATTAAGAACAAAATAAAAAGAACACTAAAGAAAAAACTATAAATTTAAAGTTATTTAAATAGATAATCAAAGTTTTTTTTCAACTTAATTTATAATGAAATGTTTAAGAATCCTAATTCCTAACTAATTAAATTGACATGAAGTTCATTTCATTTGAATCATATTCTTATTTTTTGAAAACTCTTTATTTAGATTCTAAATATTTTCTCTACATTTGAAATGATCCTCAAATTCATTCTATTGAAAAAAAATTAACAAATAAAAGTTAGAGTACAATGTTAAATGCTTTTCAAAAGTTTAGGAGGAGGCTAACCCCCCTGTCATTCATTGGTTCCGTCCATGACTTCGAAAATTAAAGGAATAAATACAGGAGTGTTTTTTTTCTTTTTTATGAATACAAAAGAGTTATCAAGTTTATAATGTATAACATATCAAACAATCAATATTAATTAATAAACCAACAATTAGCAATTTAATGTCTTGTTGACTAGCTCAATGATTCAAGTCTTGAGGTTACTATATAAGAAATTAATTTTTTTAAATATATTAAATTAATAAGTAATACACCCTTAAGATCACTTAAAAAGAATTTAATTTGACACCCTAACGGCCAAAAAAGGAAAAAAGCAACTTAATTATATACATCATACAACCTTTCACTGTGCCTACCACTTAGCACTAAACCAAAAAAAGGGGGAAAGAGAGAGATCACAATAGCCACATATCCTTCAGCACACAACTTACCATATAATGTCACTACATAAATTTTGTATTGGCATTCCATTTAGGTATTAGAGTTACATGTAAACTATCAAATCTCTGGAAAGTACGTAGTTTGATTTTCATGCACATGTGCAACTCCTCTCACCATTACGCATAGAAATTATTACTCTGGGCATGACATCGATCCACTTTTAACCATCCGATCAAGTTTAGCAGCTTAGTCTTATATAAGGATGCATAAAAAGGATCTCTGAGACCACATTTTTTTTAACCTTTTAGATGATATAAAGTTTGTATTTAATGACTTGATTATTGGCTTAAGGATTTAATAAAATACTATAAACAACTTAGACAATTCAAATGCAAAAAAGATGAAAACTTCAAAAAAAAAAAAAAAAAGCAATAAAAGATGAAACAATGACTTTGTCTACCAATAGCAAGCTTGACTTGAACACCCTGTGAAATAGATATATCAAATATATTGTATTCAAAATCACAAAAGAAGTTATCTAGAATTGTGACAAATAAACAACTTAAGGAAAAGAGTAACTTAATTATCGACCTCAAAATCCATAGAGACAAAGGAATTCAGTGGAAGGATTCAAATTAATTTTTTGGGGCTGCTGCAGTTTTCGCATTTGAGAATTTGAAGAGTTCGTGAGACAGAAGTGAGGAGAAATAAACCTTGAGAGGAAACGTAGAGAATGTGCCTTGAAAATTAATTAATACATGAAGCCTTTGGAAGAGAATTAGTCCCTCAAAATTAATTCAGTATCAAATAAGCCCCTCCCTTCTCCTGCACATTCATTGATCAAAATTACATACCCTAACCAGAGAATAGAGGAAAATTTACTTCTGCTTATAGTATTTGAAACAATGATGTAGTAAAAGAGACTTAAATGGCACGAAATTTACACTAAGGGACGTCTTTTGGGACGGAAGTTAATGGAGGCTTGATTTAAAAGCAAGGTTATCAATGTTGAACTGACATATATACCATACATTATTTTAGATTTATAATTACAAATATATATTTTTACATAAATTAATTATAAAATTATAGAAAAATACTTGTTAAACATAAAAAAATAAAATTAATGTCTTAAAATATAAATTTGTAGAGTAAAAAATAATATTATTAATATTTGGAAAACATAATTCATTTTTAGTATTTAAATTTAAAATGATTAACTTGCATGGGTTATTATGCAATTTTTCAGAAAATGAAAGGACACTTGATTTTTTTTTTTTTTTATGCCTTCCCTCTTATCGTCATCCCCTTCCCCCAAATATTCAGTCACCCAACTTCGAAATTGAAAGTCTGAAACTAAAGATTATAGTCTACTTCAACTTTCTTTTCCCTTTTTCTTTGGCAAAAATCAATTAAACGATAGATTAAAGTGTTTCTCAACTTTCTTCCCCTCTCTCTGTCTCTGCAAATTCGATTAAACCAGTGTCGACCACAAAATGACCGGCACCACCTCCAATTTTTTCACCTCCATTATCCCCTCCACGTAACCCCTGATTATTCAGCATCACCCTCACAGTCATAGACTAACACCCTCCTTCCTTTTCCCCACCCCCTTTTTATCTCTCTGTGTGTGAAAAGAGTTTACAAATTTGCACTGGCCGAAATTAACATACTACCCGGTACAATTATTTCCGAAGGTATGCAACTTTTTGATCGGTACCGTTGAAAAATTAACTGGTACAGTATATTTCCCTATAATATACTAGTTTTATGACAAATCCAGTATGCACTAGCTGTACCAGCTGGTTGCTGGCACGGTATGAGATTCACAACTTATTTAGAAGATTAACAGCTTAATTGAGGGGCTAATATTAGGATTATTCTTATGAAGCAAACCTTGTTTTGATCCTCTTCGGCTTCATATAATGATCTGAACATCTTTACCATCACCTTAAATTGATTTGATGGTCTTCAAATCCTCTTCATTGTTTTATCCATCGCCTTACCGTATACTGATATATATCTCTTCATGCTTATCTTGTGCCGAATGTATATTTCAGTTTGTACAAAGTGGTTTTTGCGCTGGAAATTGTGTTAATTGCGCTCATCGACTTTGTATATTTAATTGGAGGTGATGGTTACTATTTTTACCATGGCGACTATAAAGGTATGCTTTCCTAATTCAATCTTTACTGGGAATTAATACTCATTCCTTAGTACCGTATGTTTATGTGCTTACATGTCTTTGTTATTTTGTTATTCTAATAGATTTCGATCACATATTTATTGGAGTAACAGGTAAGTCTCAATTTCACATTAGAAAAAAAAAAAAAAAAGAACTACTTTGTGGGTAATAGTGATATATAACTACGTGATGTGATCCTGTTCTTAACTTTTTGTAATAAGGTGGACTTATTTTGGCAAGAACTTTGCTGGGGCTATCCGTCTTGATTGCAGTTATTGTGTACAAGTTTCACAGGAGACATTTGTCTGCAGATTATACAATTGAAGAATTCCTTCAAAAGCAAAACTTCATGCCTATTAAGTACTCCTATTCTGAAATAAAGAAAATGACTAGAGGCTTCAAAGATAAATTAGGTGAAGGAGGTTATGGTTTAGTTTTCAAAGGAAAGCTTCGAAGTGGCAATTTAGTGGCAGTAAAATTATTGAGCAAATCAAAAGCTAATGGCCAAGATTTCATCAATGAAGTTGCTACCATTGGAAGGGTTCATCATGTTAATGTGGTGCGACTGATCGGATTTTGCGTGGAGGGATCTAAACGAGCTCTTGTATATGATTTCATGCCAAATGGATCCTTGGATAAAATCATATTTTCTAGTGAAAACAACACGTCTTTAACCTGTCAAAGAATGTTTGAAATTGCTCTTGGAGTGGCTAGGGGGATTGAATACTTACATCGAGGATGCGAAATGCAGATTTTACATTTTGATATCAAGCCACACAACATCCTTTTGGATGAGAACTTTAGTCCAAAAGTTTCAGATTTTGGCCTTGCAAAATTGTATCCCACAGATGATAGTATTGTATCTCTTACTGCAGCAAGAGGTACTCTAGGATACATGGCTCCAGAATTATTCTACAAGAATATTGGAGGCGTCTCATATAAAGCTGATGTCTATAGCTTTGGAATGTTGTTGATGGAAATGGTGGGAAAGAGAAGGAACCTAAATGCATTTGCTGATCATACAAGTCAGATATACTTCCCAAAATGGATTTCTGAACATTTTGATCAGGGAGAGGATATAGAGTTGGGAGATGTTATTGATGTTGAGAAGAATGTTCTAATGAAGATGGCCATAGTTGCTTTGTGGTGCATACAAATGAAACCTTCCATTCGTCCTTCCATGACCAAAGTCTTGGAGATGCTTGAAAGTGAAATTGAACTCCTTGAAATGCCCCCAAAACCTACTTTTGCTCCTTCCGAATCGCCAGCTCCAGATCATGGCGGTATAAGCCTAGCAACCGCGCCAACCATGTCGCTTGATGCTAGATCATAGTGGTCTACTTCAAATGCATTTTTAGGTAAATGCACATTCACAACTAGTAGCATTGAATATTGTGTCATAATCCTGTATTGTTGCTTTGGTAGATTACATACTTAATTTTCTTCCTGTAAAATATATCAAATTCCGCATGCCATTTTTCTATATGTGAATTGCAAACTATTGTTTGAATCAAACTAATCATTGCCAGAATTCCATTATCTTTTAGCAATAACATATTGAGTAGTATTTTACATAGATTGCCCTCCTGGTCCATCAACTTAGTAATCAATTTCATTTGGGTTCCTTGACCTTGTAACTTACAGGAAATAAACACCGGCATCCTTTGTTATGTAAAGGGTTTTTGTTTCTTTAATCTGGTTACTTTCCCATTTCCAAAAGTTGGTAGGCAAAAGGCCCGTTAATTCCTGTCATAACACGATTTTTGCTTTGCATTTTTTGATATTTTTGCGATTAAAACCTATTTTGGTTTTTCTTTTTTTTATTTTAATAGAAAATCTTTTTTTCAATTCTTTTACTTAAAAAAATCCCTTTTGATCCTTAAAGCTTAAAATTTGACTCTTTTTTAGTTCTTTCATTATCTTTTACATGTATGATACGTATAATAGAAATCTACATTAGAGAAGCTAAAATGGGATTAAAAAAATTTTATTTTAAAAAAAAATTCCTTTATTTAAAAAAAAAAATACTTTTTTAGTTTCTTCATTTTGAAATTTTTGTTATCTAACATAACATTTACGTAAAAAGGTAATGAAAAACTATAAAGGAATTAAATTTTAAACTTCAGAGATCAAAAAAGATTTTTTAAATAAAAAGCCTATAAAAAAAGTTTTGATATATTTTTACTAAAATTTTGATCTTTCTAAATTATTAATTTCTCATAAATTTTTATGTTTTAAATCTAAATTTAAAAATTTTGAGTTATAATATGATCGTGAGAAATTAACTTGAAAATTTTGTTTAAAGAAAAATCGAGATTAAAGTATAAATAATGTTGCTTTGTACCAAATTAAGAAAATATAAAATGGAGGTTCTATTTCGCTGGGACTTACATGAAAAAGGAACTAAATTTTGGGACTAAACTGAAATTTATGCAAAACGTACGGACTGAAGTGCAAATCGATCCCAAAACGGCTGTCGACTATCGAGCCATTCTCGGCAAAACCTCACCCAGATCCTGTTTCCCGCTCTCCCTTTCTCGTTCGCTTGCCGACCAAACGGCCCCAGTTCTCGGACAGCCTCACATCAGACAAAGCACAGCCCTCCCCGCCGTTTTCTTTTCCTGAAGAGAGAGCAGTGCTTGTCGGTAGAGGAATGGGTCAACTTTGTGCAGTCCGATCAGCAGTGAAGAAAACAGGGGAGCAATCAAAGGGCTAAAAAGAGGAGAGAATAAGCAATCTGAGGGAAGTCCTACGTTTTTTCAAAGTTTTTGTATAAATAGAGAGGGAGAATCGGAGAGAAGGGGGCGGACGGAAAAAAAAAAAATCAAGCCGAGAAAAAAAAGGAGGAGATCCCAGAGCCTTGGGTACCGGCGGAAGGAGGAATTTCTTGAGTGCCCTATTGCTTGTAATCTGATCTTTGAGGTACAATACTCGTCCCTTTCAATTTCATGTAATTTATTTACAATGAAATGAGAAATTGATTTTTAAGTTTTTGCTCTGCAATTATTTTCTGTTGATGTTGTGAATATCTGAATTCATCGAGTTTCAGGTACCGACCCAATACTTTGTCTCCCTAATTCGAGATTCTATACATCTTTTATGTGCGCCTCTTATTGTGGAGACTTCTGCTTTCTGAATTAATTTTGATCCCCTGTGCTCCCTGATTATGTGTTTGTGTAAATTCCTCCTTACTTGTGAAGTCATGATTTTAGATTTTTGCATATGCCTGGTGTTGCTTTCCTTCTCTGGACATTTTGCCTTCTAATAGTTTGACAGTTTTCATAATTTTCTGATGCATCCATTTCAGATTATATAGCCTTCCGTTGAAACAAAGAGATTAATATCATGTCCTTCCATTGTTAACTAAAATTGTTACTAAATTAAAATAAAAATCGAAACTCCCCTTCAACTAGGGGATTTATATAGTATAACTTTAGCACGATTGTTATAAATTTCATTCTGTAGTACGATTATTTAGAAAACATTAAAAAAATGTGTAGAATAGAAAGAATTT